TGCATGCATTGCATGCACGCATAGCTTGGTAATACTGCTTGGATAAATAGACCGACAAGTTGCTAGATAGCTAGATAGATAGATAGATAGATAGATAGATAGATAGATATACAGATAGATAGATAGATAGATAGATAGATAGATCGATCGATCGATAGATAGATAGATAGATAAATAGATAGATTTATCTACTCTTATATATATATATATATTTGTCTAGTTATCTATCTGTTTATATGTGTAGTTGTGCATGTATGTATCCGTTTACTGGTTCGTACTTATATTTATATTTATATTTATATTTATATTTATATTTATATTTATATATATATATATATTTATATTCATTTAAAACTATATGTCTATGTACGAATGTATATGTATATATACAGATTCATCCGTTTATATTAGGTACTGATACTTCAGTTTCTAGCTATTGGTACTGGTTTTCTGCTTATGTTCATACTTATACTCCATGTTTATCTATACTTACATTTATGCTTATATTTGTATTTCTATGTGTATTTCTATTTGTGTTTATACTTATGTGTATGTATCTGTTTATGTGTTTATATGTGTCTATAGCGGCTTCATAGGGTTTGCACGAAGGTTTGAAAGCTTCGTAGAAAGGTTGACAAAGGTGTTACAAGGTTCTGTACAGGGGCCTCAACCATTGGAATGGGCTTCGGAGGTATGTTGTACCCTAAACCCTAAACCCTAAACCCTAAATCGTGGCTCGTACTGTAGTTGGCTAAGGGACGATCAGGGGATACTACCGATACCGACCCGAACCGTGCCCCCTCTACTCCAAACTCCATTCCCTGATCCTCAACTGCCAACCTCAATCCCTATAGGTCCTACACCGTACTCCTACGATCCGTCCGAAAGAAGTAGGATACCGACTAGATCCCACATCGATAAACCAGCAATCCGAAGCCGAAAAAAAGTAGAAAACCCTCAAGGACTTGACAAGCTGCTCCCCCGCTGCTGCTTCAGCCAAGCTCGGAGAGGGCAGCGCTGCAAGCGCGCATGCTGAAGGGCCACCTCACGCCAGTTTCTGGCTGGTTTAGGCTCTAGTTCTGCTGGGCGTTCTCGAAGGGTTTTGGTGAGGGTCTCAGAAGCGTTCCGGAGGGGTCGATTGGAATTAGTGCTTTTGGGGTTCACGGTTTCGGGGTCTAGGGTGCAGGAAGTCGGGGTCTAGGGTGTAGGGTTTAGGGTTACGGCGCCTATTTTTAAACACCGCAACATTTAAACAGCTTAAAAAGATCATTTGCTCTAGGTCTAACAGCAGTGGCTTCGGGCCGCCCAATTTTAAAACATCCGGAAGTTTTTGCTTCGTTCCCCCGCCACCTGCCTTCCATCCTTCGCCCTCCAGCCTTCAAGCCCTCCAGCCTTGCAGCCTTCTCCAGCCCTCCAGCCTTCCCACCTTCCAGCCCTCCAGCCTTCCAGCCTGCCGGCCCCTCCAACCTTCCCGCCCTCCAGCCCTCCGCCTTCAAGATTTCATTCTTTCATCCAGCCTCCAACCTTCCAGCCTTCAAGCCTCCAGCCTTCCGGTGCTCCAGCCTTGCCGCCTGGCCCAGCCCTCCAGCCTTCCAGCCTTCCCACCTTCCAGCCCTCCGCTTTCTGGCCGCCTGGAAGGCTGGAGGACTGGAGGGCTGGGGCTGGAAGGCCAGAAAGCTGGAAGCTGGAGGGCTGGAAGGCTGGATCCGGCCTGGAAGGCAGGCAGGCTGGCAGGCTACAGAAGACGGGGTTTGGCCGGCTGCAGGGCTGGAGGGCTGGAGGGCTGGAGGGCTGGAAGGCTGGAAGGCTGGAAGGCTGGAAGGCTGGAGGGCTTGGAGTGAAGGAGGGCAGTAGATNNATATTTAAACTTCCGGATTTAAACAGGTCATTTACACTACCTCTGTCATCCTTGGGCCTGGGCCGCCCTCCACATATTCAAAAAGCGTCACCGTAGTGTTTAGGGTGCACATCTCAGAGTCATTATACGATTCGGGCTACTTGATTGCAGAGCGTGTCAGGTCTTATGCATGGATCTGATGCAGCGCTTGAAACATTTCCAGTGTGTCTCGTGCCAGAGAAAGTCAAGCATCCTTCGTAACGCTGTAAAGACCACTGGTCTCGCACAGGCACAAGGCATCAATCCTTGGACAGTGCGTCAACACTGTCAATACCAGCATTGTGGGAATGGTCGCCGTTACAACCGACGTCACCCCCACACCCCCGACCCCCCCCCCCACCCCAGCGCCACCCTACACCATGGAATCATCCGCCACAACCTCCAAAAAGTAACATGGCGCCCCATGCGCCCGCTACCTTATGGAACCCTGTTCGAACTACGACGGCCCCTCTACTATACCCTAACAGTACTTAACCCTTACAGCACCCTCAAAGGAAGCCTAAAAAGGAACCCTATTCGAGTTATGACCCTGAAGGCCCTTAATTAACCCTAAACCCGAAACCCTACACCCGAAACCCTCTGCGAGTTATGAAGGCCCTTTTGTTTGCTGTCCGCACCTTGAGGGAGCGAAGCTCCAAGGGAGCCGACCGCGGCGCCAGCTCCTGAACGTCTTCATCTTTCAACTGGAGTGTGTATTTTATTGTGCTTTAAACTCTGTGTATATGTAACGTGTGCACATACATATCTATATATAAGTGAGTATGTATGTATGTATGTATGTATGTAGGTATGTAGGTATGTATGTAGGTATGTATATATGTACGTATACACGTAGGTATGTAGGTATGTAGGTATGTAGGTATGTAGGTATGTAGGTATGTAGGTATGTAACAATGTAGGTAGGTAAGTAGGTAGGTAGGTAGGTAGGTAGGTAGGTAGGTAGGTAGGTAGGTTGGTCGGTAGGTAGGTAGGTAAGTAGGTAGGTAGGTAGGTAGGTAGGTAGGTAGAGGTAGGTAGGTAGAGGTCGGTAGGTAGAGGTAGGTAGGTAGAGGTAGGTAGGTAGAGGTGGGTAGGT